ATAAGCGAATTCACGTATGCTCTTCGCAAGAGTCTCCATTAGAGCTTCTGATCCGCCCAATGTACTGTTTGTTGGTGAGCCCCGCTCATTTTGTCCATTGGTATAATTTGCTGTCACAGCAATTAAACGTTCCAAGAGCAGTTTTTGTTGCTCCGCGGTTTCTTGCTGTCTTGATAGAAGAGTCGCAACCACCTGCTCTAATGTCGCCATTTTTGATATTGTTCTGAGCTCGAAAAGAGTTGTTTTTCTTCGTCGCCACTGTTATGGTTGAGGGGGTAGCCGTAGCTTAATCTTTATTTACAAAATATACATACAAGAATAATACAATACAAATTATAAGATCTTAAATACGAACTTGGATATTATATGGCTTACCGCGTATTACGTTACAACGTGCTTAGGTATCGGCAGACGGAAAAGAAAAGAAATAATGAAAGAATATGCAAACGGGATACAATAACGGATCCTAGTTCTACAATGACATATCAAAATTAAAGTCTACACTTGTGGGTTGCCAACAATGTAATAGTTTGAATAATATACGTATGTAATTATTGTTTACTGTCAGCCGAGGTGGCCACTACCTTTCATCGTGAATAGCAAATGTCAAAAAGTCACAATAATAAAACAAGAACATTCAGCGGCAGTTCAACTTTGAATCTTGAAGCGATTAGTTTTATAACAGCATTCTGCGGACAGGATCCGAAAAATGGAAAATACCATGAATAAGACTCAGTTGGCTACAGAATTGCGAGCAGCGGGTGTAATTTTTGGGAAAGATGCCACAGTTGCAGATTTGCGTGCGATGTACTCCGCAAAACTTGGGAAAAATTCTACGGGAAAAAAGAATTCCGATCAGGCGATACAGAGTAATTCCGAGAAAAGCTGCGCTGACGATCGTAAGTTAAATACGAATGATGAAAGCGAACAAGAAAATTTGAACGATTCGCCGGGAGAGCCGAAAACGAAAACCGCTATTCAGTTATACGAAATCCAATTGGAAGAAGAATTGCTAGATGCAAAGTTGCGTGTATTGGAGAAAAAGAAGCGAATTTTTGAATTGGAATCAGGCATGTGTTCTCCATTAGTTCAGCAATTTATGAAACCCAGCTATAAAGACGTTAAGCATTTGGTTCCGTTATTCAGCGGTTCTGACGACTACGACGCCGAGAAGTGGCTTGGAGATTTTGAACGAGCGTGTGACGCGATTAATGCTCATCATCTGAATTCTTCCGTCAATCCATGAAAAGTGACTCAGAAGCCGAATTATTTTTACGCACCGATTGTTCAGCAACATATTCAGAGATTCGAGCAAATTTTTTAGCGAATTTTGGTCACATTTATTCCGTCAGTGAGGTTATTGACAAATTACGAAAAACCATATTCCAATCAGCAAAAACAAGTGTGATGGGTTATATTTTAAAAATGCAAGAAATTGCATCAAGAGCTCATATTGAAGAAGAGCAAACCTTTCAGTTCATTATTGCTGGGTTCCAAGATACCTCACCACACATTGCCGTTCTGTATCCAGCTACAACCATTATTCGTTTGAAAGAATTGTCGCATAGGTATGCACAATTGCATGAAGTGTGACGTTCACAACTTCAGATTTTTTCTCAACCGCCCCCTAGTGCTCGACCAAAATCGAAATCATTTTATTCATCATCGGTTGGAGTTCCTCCTATTTCCGAATCCAACATTCAATGCTACAATTGTTCGGGCTATGGCCACCGTTCTGCGTCCTGTTCAGCCACTAAGCGAGAGAAAGGTTCCTGCTTTCGATGTGGATCAACTCAGCATCAACTTAAAAATTGCCCGAAGCCGAGACCACCACCGACAAGCAATCAAGTTGCTTTAATTGATGATGTTGGAGAATCGTGTATAGCTCTTGAAGAGCTTAATAAGGTGAGTGTTACTTTTCTGACTGATGGTTCTGTGCACATAAGTAAGAGTTTGGTTTCTCTTCTCGATTCAGATAGTCCAATTAGTTTGGTGAAGCATTCAGCGGTCCCAAGGCAACTAATGCGAAGTGACATGAAATATTCCGGATATGAGGGGCTCGAACGATTTAAAATTTGCACGTATGGTGTAATTTTGGTTAAAGTTCAGTTTAAAAATGTTACTAAAGAAATAAAAATGTATATTATTCCGGACAATTTGATGTCATATTCAGTTTTGTTGGGCCGTATTTTCATGCGTATGTTTGGAATACGTTTAATGATTGCAGCAGAAAATTTAATACCTAAACCAAAGGTAGAGATTAAATATAAACCCGAGCGGGATGAAATAAGAATTTCGGAACAAGCCTTGCATTGTGTGTACAGTTCTTTTAGTGATGAGAATTTTGACTATTCTGAATGCGAATTGTGTGGATGTATACCGAGTGCGTGCATTGTTGACTGTGATTTCGTGGCTTCAGTAGGATTGGAGAATTTCGGCAGACTTGATAACAATATCGATCGTATGGCTTCTGATATTATGAACATTAATTTTTGTGTACCATCTTCAGACTGTTTTGATATTAACCCCAAACTTAACCTTTTCCATCGTGAAGATATTCGGAAAATAATTAAATAAAAAATAATTAAATAAAAATATTAAATTAAATGTATATATTAAATTAAATGTATATAAAGTTGACCTCCGACATTCCTATAAGTTTCCGACCTAGACGAATTTGACAGAACTATTGACGAATTGCTTGAAAAGGGTGTAATCAGGCATAGCAATTCTCCATATGCATTCCCCATTGTTCTTGCACCTAAAAAGGATGGTACTAAGCGAATGTGTGTGGACCATTAGCGCACACAAGGGGTGGGTTTTGGGGTTCAAACCCCCCCTAAAGCTAATAACCTCAAATACAAACTGTATCTTAAAGCTAAGAATCCAGCTCTCAAGGAAATTATAAGAAATATTTATTATAATTTCTGTTGC